ATGCTTTGCACATAGTAAAATCTTAGTAAGTGGGTTTTTTTTTTTTCTCATTCACCCATTCATTAAGTCTCCAAGACTTGGGCTTGCTAAGTTCCTGAGAGAAATCATTCTTTAAGTTCATTCATTCACTCCATAAGTCCTGGGCCTGCTGCTTCTCTTATGAGGTCATCCTAAGATACAGGATACCTGCTTATCTGTCAGCAATAAGGATGGAAACAGTTGTAAAGAGGGACTTCCCCATGAAGAAGACTAAGGGTTTGGTTTTGTTTTTTTTTTATTATATTGAAAGATAAGGAAACCTAGGCTAGAGGAGACTGGAGACAGATTTCAAGTCAGAATGCTCTGCCTAAGCAGTGAGAGTGCAGAATGAAGGGTGGACACATATCTTGATGAGGCTATGGGAGAACAAGAAAAATCCTAGTCACACTCACAAGCCTCTAATAAATTTTGTCTATGTGATATGCCAGACAAATTAATCTCTAGTTAGACCTAAGTTTGGATTAAACTCCACAAAACTTGTCTATTTCTATGCCTTTCCATTTTATTGGTTTCTTCCAATTTCTTAGGAGTAAAAGTTCCTTTGGAAAAACTCCAGCCCTTAGGAAAGGGAGTTTCTCTCACCTTGGTCAGTGCAGAGGAGTTGTGTAGCATATTTCCTAAGGATCAGGAAGGTAAGGTTCAGATTGGGGTTGGAGTAGAATGGCAGTCACCAGCCCAGTTCTGTATTCCACGGAAAACCACTGGGGCTGAGATCAAGACTGGCAGAACACCCAGGAAGGGCAGAGTTAGGGCTAGTTGTGATGGAACCGCACATTGCCCCTGAGTGATATACCTAGTGGCAGGACTGGGAGAGAACCATTTGGATAAGTCTCAAGTGAGCCTGTCCCATTGGGCAAAGTCAAAATTATACAAGCCAAAGGACTGTATAATGTCTATTAATTCTGGTTTTCATTACACTGGAAACTGGGTAGTACCTTGAGCTACCAGAGAATGAAAAGAGATGCTGGCAATGTCCAGGAAAGTATGCAGAGAGCTGGGTTTGGAAGTCAGGAAGTCCAACTCATCTGAGAAAAGAACTCCCTTCACTCTTTCGGGGAGGGGGGTGTTCAAAGTTGTGGGTTATGTAGATTGATTTTGCTCATCATTATCTTCTTGCTCTTTTTAGTTTTTAAAAAAATCTTTGTTATATATTGATTTGTTTTGCTCATTTTCCCCTTGTTCTTTTTATTTTTTTTAAATCTTTTTTTATAGGGAATTGCTCTCTGGGAAGAGACAGGGGGAAGGATAAAGGAAGAAATGTAGGTGATGTAAAAACAAAAGATAATGATAAAAAGTTGGTTTTTTAAAATCCATCTTAGCTATCAAAATGAAATTGTGGCTGTTGGAATGGAAGAGGGGTTTGCTGGGGATACTAAGCCTCATTGTGGTGGAACTCAGAGTGAAGTCAAGAGGATGCAGGCAGGATTTACAACTCTGCTTAGAGAACAGTAAAGAGGAGCCTTCTGCTGACAGTGGTCAGCAACGATTCTAGCAAGGTGGCAATGAGCCAGGGGAGCCAACAGACAACCTGGCCAGAGGGACTCAAGAAATTAGGTTTAATAAGATACATGGGAGCGTAGCTGGGTGATTGGCCATGAACGACACGATGGGGGCACCCAGGCATCCAGTTGGACTTCTGGCTAACTTCCCAGCTAACAGGCAATGAAGTAAGGGGGAAGAGAAAGGAGAGGAGGCACTGGACCTACCAGCATCCTGGAAAGGATATTATAAGATGGCAGAGTAGCTTCCACTCCAGATTCAGATGACTGAGTTGGAAATGAAGGAGGAAGAGATGGCACTCTGGAGATTAGTTAGGGACTGGGTGGCTGGAAATTGATTGACCAAAAGATTTGATTGGCAAGATGTATCAAAGTAGTGGCAATTTCTAGGAGGGGGAGCAATAGACAGGGTCCTTCTTAACGGACAAAGTATATATATCAAAGTGTAATGGAAGCAACCTTTGGAAGCAAAGGATCAAGTCCTGGATCTCTATTTCCTGGTTATAGGATCTCAGGTAAGTCCTGATTTCTTCAGTTTCCTTCCCCAGTTGGAAGTGCTCTCTTGGGAACAGGGTCTACTCAGTGGATGGAATTTAAGGTCTTGGACTCACATTGGGGTTATCACCCCCAAGGTGTAGGGCAGCTACAATGACTAGAAACTACAAAGGTCTCCAGGAAAGAGCTCAGATGAAGCTTCAGCATCTTTGAGAAGCAGACCATTCCCAAGAAGGACAGCAACAAGGACCTTCATAAGCCAGAGAAGCTTAGGGCTTCAAACTCATTAATACTCAGTCACTGGAGATGCCCAGAGTAGGTTTGACTAATATACGAGCTTGCAAGGAGGGATCTGGTGAGGATTTCCCATTCAATGATGCCCTCAAAGTAATCATGGAGGTGAAGAGAGCTGAGAAACAGCTCCTCAGAATCCTTTCACTTTCTAAGGATACACATGGGGTGGAAGAGTGCCTGAGCTGGCCTTAGAACACGAGAAAGAACAGAAATGGGAGTCTAGTCCTGAGCTGACCCTTGAAGCAAGCCAATTTGTAATCACCCCAAGGGACCTCTCTACCCACAGGGAGGGAGTAGGACCCATGGGCATTTCTGGACATCTGCAAGAGGACAGGGAGAGCTGCCAGAGGCTTAGACATCATCCTGCCAGCTGTCTGGCAGGAGTTGGAGTGGAAATATACAGAGAGGCATCACACCAAGGGAGAACTGTTGACCTTTGCTGGGCCTGAAGGCACATCAGACCACAATTTACCAAGAGGCTGAGTACTGTAGGAAAGAATTCTCCAGACTGTGGACTTCCCTGAGTAACCCCTACCCTGGTCACGGAGTCCCCCTTTACTAGGGAAAGGATGCAAGGATTTAGTGTGCAGCCCAACAGGGAGAACTCTTGAAACAGGAAAAGTAGAGTGCATTCTTGATGAAGCCAGGGAACAGAGCTTTGAGATAAAGATGACAGTCATCATGGTAGCTAGTTGACTACGAGAAAACCTAACCTGAGATACCAGCCTTGAAATAGACTTCAAGAAACCATTATTGAAGACTAGAATCATCATTAACAAAAGGCTCAAGCTAGCTCAACAGGATAGAGAGAAACGATCAGGGAAAGGTTTGGAATTACAGGAGCTCAAAACTGTGGGTCGTTTCAGGACCCTGCACAGCCTAAAGCTGAGGAGAGGAAGCATTCTTTCTCCTGGGGGCTAAGATCAACACAAGACCCTAGATGGCCTGGGCAGCACCCAAGAGCAAATATATCACAGTCCAGTGCCTGAACACCTGGGAGCCTACATCTGGAGACAGAAGATGATGTAAGTTCTAGGAGGGATTTCAGACAGCACCACTCCTGAAAATGATGCCAAATCAATTCTCTCAGGCTAGCTTGTGAGGAATGTGCCAATTCAGAAATTTGTTCTTAGGACTCCTCTGTTGTACCTTGTGTGGTTACATTGAGTGACAGCAGTGAGATCCATGATCATTTACAAAGGGCTGGGAAATCAGGGTCCTCTCAACACTTTCCTGTGCCCCAAGGAAGGTGGAAGGGTGAAATAACCAGACAGCAGCCCACAGAGGAGGAGATCCAGGAGAGGAAAAAGAAACAAGTTTTATTAAAGCCCCAAACACTTGGCTAGAAAAACCAAAAAGGAAAGATGAGGAAGGACATTAAAAAAGAGGGAGGGAGGGAGAAAGACAGAGACAGAGAGAATACAGCAACCCTTTTCCATTTAGAAATTGTCAAGTTACACTGACAGAGATCACAGAATATCCAAAGCAGCCAGTCATTGCTACACCAACACGAGCCCCATGGGGTGGGGGGAGCACAGAGTGGCCCCAACCCTAGGAGACCCCACTCAGGGCTCTTGGGGTGCGGCTCCTGTGGAAACAGCCTACTGGGGGAAGGAAAAGGAAAAGAAAATGCCCATGCGAGAGCCACGGCACAGCAGGGGAGAGAAAGGGGGAGGAGGGCCCCCCCCCAGACTTCTTAGGTTTCTTTTTGTCAAGCACACACAGACGGACAACAGAGAGTGCGAGCAGTGAGGCGCATGCAGCAAGCAGGGCGAAAAGCGCAGAGTGGGAACGTGCTGCGGGTGGGTTTGAAAACAAAACTTGGCAGGGAGGCAGGGAGGGGGGTCTTTATCTGGGGGCCAGAAAGGGCATGGGATTGGTCCATCCCCTTCCCCTGGTGAAAGCTTTTGGAAAGGGGTGAGAGGGGTGGGACACAAGCGGATGCACAAATGCACCAAGTTCATGTACAAGCATGTAGATGGACACATGAACACTCACAGGACCATGTACCTCCCTCCTTCCCCTCCATACACACAAAGTTGCAAGAAAGGGGAAGAAAGCATCCTTGATCCCCCCTGGACTCTCCTTTTAGCCAGCAGAAGTGCTGGGGAGGAGAGCAAGGGTGCCTTTCTATTAACACATCTGTCCCCTCGCCCCTTGGCTTCACACAGGCCACAAAGGGACGTTACACTCTAGACAGTAACAGTGGGCAACACACTTGGCCTCCAAGGAAGAGGGACAGGAGGAGCACAGGCTGGAGGAGGGGGCAGGTAAGGGGGGGGGGCGATGATCCCCATAGGGCAGGAAGAGTGTAGTTTGTGGAGGGAGGGCACTGAGCTCCAAAGAGTATGAAGGAAAGGTCAAGGCTGGAGGAACAGCTGGGGGGGGGGGGCAGATCCACTCCCCTAGGCTAAGGTGGGGGAAGGAGAAGGGTGTCTCTGTACAGCCAAATTGAACCAAACCAGAAGTCAGACAATCCTGCCTCCCCGACCCTGGCCTCCCGGCACCCTCCCCCGCCAAACAGCGGCTGGGGAGAGTGCTTAGGTTTCTTTTTTTTTCCCGTTTTTTAAATATTTATATATATTTATATTATGTATATTATATATATATATAATATGTAAATATATTTTTAAAACAATATAAAATGTTAAGACACTTCACTTAAATGTAAAGAGTTGCCTGCAATTAAAAGTAATTGCATCATTTATGAGGTTCCCCTTTTTTCCTTTATATTTTTTTTGTGGAGGGTTATATTTTTTTGTTCAGGAGGGTTCAGTTTTTGTGAGTTTTTTTTCCTCTTCTATATTATTCTTCAAAAAGCCTCACACACCTTCATACAAAAATGATCCCAATCTTGAAAAGAACCAAAAAAAAAAAAACCAACCCAAACTTTAAAGTATAGTCCCCTTTGACCCTCATCCTTTCTCTGTGCTTATACTCTCAGGAGACCCTGTCCCTGGCTGAGCTGATTGCATGACCTTGCCTCACACACTTCCTGTGCTGGCACTCATGGATCAGTTGTGCTCCAGATGCTGGGGGAGAGGGTGGGAAGGGACCTTCTTCTTTTCTATTCTAGGTCCACTCCCCCAGCTTTCATTCAGTCATCCATCCCCACTATCCTGGACCCTGGGGCAATGCTAGATTCTTCCAGTCCAAGACCTACTCAATAGTCTTCAGGATACGTTAGGATGGGCCCAAATACTCTACAGGGCCCTGGACCAGTGCAGTTCCTAGACTGGTAAGGCCTGAGTACTGGCTGGTTGGCCAGTTCCTTTTGTGGCCACCGGGAACCACACTGGGGGGAGTCCAGGAATTCTGGACCCATGCTTGTTTCTCTATCATTTCACTACTTTCCTGAAAATTCCTATATTTCTTATGGGGAAGAGGAGAATCAGATAAACTTCCTTACCTTCCCCTTTTCTTTCTCACCTTCTCTCATCGCCTAATCTCCCAGATTCCCACACAATCTGGCAACCCCCTCTCCCCAGTACCACTTCAGACTCCCAAAGCCACCTGTTTCCTGCTGCCTTCCCCCCTCCTTTTAAATAAATTAATGACATTTAAAGTGCTAAATTAATAAACTAAAAGTAAAGTCCCTTCCTGGGGTGTCCTCATCCCCAGGGCAGTGTCCCCTCAACACTGGACTGCCCCTGCCTCCAAACTCACAGAATCCAAAACAGTCCCCCTCATCCCAGCTCTGGACTTGGTGGGTTGTTCCTTATTGCCAGTAAAGGGCAGACCTCATGTCCTCTCCCTTGAAGACACAGACATGGAGGCCTCCCTGCAGCCCCTGAAGCTGGGGATTCCATCTCCAGTTCATTCATCTTGGTTTCCAATGCCGTTTCCAGGAGGAGAGAACCAGGATAGCAGCAGTGACAGATTAACAGTCATGTCCAGAGGTCAGACAGTCAGAAGGTGTTGCCAGGGTCTCTCCTGGTCCCCCCATCTCTGAGCCCCCTCATTAGAGTTGGGTCCAATGTCCAGTTTTTCTCCCACGAAGGTACCAGGGTGGGAGAGGGGGTACCTTTCACAGCTCCAAGTCCTCATGGCTTGGAAATTCCCGACATGGGTCGAAGTTCATTTGGAGCAGTATCAGGAAGCCAGAAGGGAGTCAGGAAAAAGGAAAGGGGAGGCAGGGAAAGGGAAGAGAGGATGGGGTGAGAAGAATGGGGAAGTGCAGGATGATGAAAGAAGAAATTGGGATAGAAAATAGGAGAAGATGGTGGCCCAAGAGGAGACCATTCCAGGATAGAAAGAGATAGGTGGTGTGTTTGATTTTCATTTTCTTTTTTTTTTTTTTGGCTTTTAAAAAAAGGTCATTAAAAGTGGATTACTTCAAAAAATCAAAAACACCACAGGGGTGGGGTTAGGGCAGCTAGAAGATGGGCATAACTGCGGCAAATCCTGTTGAGATTCTGGAGGAGAGTGTGTTGGGGGTGGGGAAATGAAGAGAATATGGTGAGAGGTAAATAGAAGGAGGAAGAACAGAGGAGGAAATGGGAGGAAGAACATAGGGCTTTAGAAGGAGATGGAGGAATTCCTTGCCCCAAAGGAAGTCAATACGGGGATGGAGGTTCTGGAAGCAGAGGGTTTTTCTGAGACTGGGCTTGAGGTCTCATTTGACCCGCTCACCTCTTTAGATGGTCTATTGACCTGGAAAAAAAAAAAAAAGCAGGGGTCAGTGGGGCTGAGGGCCATGCGCTGTGCCTCTAGCCAGAGAAAAATCCCTCTAGGCATCTAGGATAAAACTGTCTTAAAAAGAAATGGGCTGGAGGGAAGTCTGGAGAAGGAAATTCCTGGACTGGGGGTGGGGCTGTGCATACAGATGTATGTGAGACAGAGTGTGTTGCATGGACAGAAAGTTAGAGGAGCTAGTAGACCAGGAAGAGAGTGGAGCCTACTAAAGGAAGGTGAGAGAGGAGGAAGTAGGTGGGACAAGGGCAAACCAAGCCCAGAATTCCCAGAGAATTGGGGGAAGGGGCAGGAACAGGAGATGGAGAGGGAGAAAAAGGCAGGGAAAGGGAGGAAGAAAAAGTGAAATGTTAGCTATGGTGCAAGCAAGCATCCCTACTTGGGACAGCATGAGTTAGTCCAAGTTGGGAAGCTGGGGGAAGAGAAGACACCGAGACTCACTGTAATGACCTGGGGTAAAGACCAAAGTTAGACTTCACTCTGACAGACCACCTACCCAACTCTGCCCCCTCTCCTTGGCCTGAGGTCCAGGCTGAGTAAGGCTCCAGAGACCAGGGCTTTCAGTGACCCAAGAGAGAGGAAATTCTTCCATCTTCTCTAGGAAATCTCAAGGGACTGGCCTTGAACCTAGTTGAGTGTTCACTGATCAATGCAACTCCCTTTTGCCCCTTCACAAAAACCTAAGATATGTGTAACACTAAAATGTCAGCAGAGCTCATCTATGTGAGCCTCCCATCAGATACAGAAGTATCTAGAGTCCCCTGGGGTTCCCAACCTAAAGTACACACACCTCTAGGGAATACAAGAAGCTTGTCAAGGGAATATGGGGAATACTTAGCAATTAAGTGTATTATCCTATTGGAATTAAACTCTATTGTATTTCTTGTGTGAATGAGCATGGCAAACTCGAAATGATTTCCTTTCATATTGAGTATGGGACAAGGGAAGGTTTACAGAAACCCAAATTGTCTGGGGACTAGAAAAGGTGAAGAACACTTTGCCCAGATGAACCCCTGATGGGTTGCGCCCTAACCACTAAAGGTGACTCCAAAGCCGTGTTCGAAAGATTTCCTTAGATTAAGCTGAAATTTGCCTTCCTAGAACAGCCACTCATTTGTCCTAATTCTGCCCTCTAGTGTTCAAGGAAAACTAATTCCTCTTCCACCTGACAGCCTTTCAAATCTGTGGAAGATTATTATGTTCTCCCCCTACTCCCTCCTCTCTCTTCTGTAGGCTAAATGTTGCTAGCATCTTCAACTGTTTCTGTGTGACACATTCTAGAGGGGATTCTTCTTCTAATAGGGGTTAACTAGATGACCCATGAGGTTCCTTCAGACTCTGAGAGTCTATGAATGCCCTCGCCATCCTGGCTGCTCACTTCTCGATGTGCTCCACTTTGCCAATGTGTCCCATGAAGGCTAACACCTCAAACTGAATACAATATTCCAGATGGAATCTGACCAGCAGAGAGTACAGGATGACAACCATCTCCCTAGTTTTGGATATTATTCCTTCCAATGATGCAGTCTAAGGTTGAATTAACTTCTTGAACTTGTAGACAACAAAAACCTCCAGGTCTTTTTCACATGAGCCACTACTAAATTTCACATAAACTGCTACTACCCCCCCAACCTGTATGTTTTAAGCCCAAGTGTGGGACTTTACATTTATTCCTGTTGAGTTTCATCCTATTAGTATCATCCTGCCAATCAACACTGTTGAGATCAGTTTGAATCCTGATGTCATTTAATGTATTAGCTATCTCTCCAAGATTGGTGCCAACTCCAAAGTCAGATATCAATTATGTGGCTTCATTTAAGTTACTGATAAAAAGTGTTGCCCCTTGGCACACCATTATACCTTCTACCAGAATGACATAGGTCCACTAATCAAGTACAGTTAAGTTATATAATTCAACCAGCAAATGTACTGTCACGCCTACATTTCTCCATCTTGTCCACAAGGATATCATGGGAGATGATTAAATGCCTTGCTTAAATCAAAACATTGACTTATTATGACTGTGGCTTTCACCTGATCTAACATCCCTGTCATGAAAGGGAATGGGTATATTTTGGCTGTGGGACAAAGAATAAGAGTGCTGGTGTAGAAACCAGGAGGACCTAGGTTCAAATCTTGCTTTATACATACCAGCTGAGTGACCCTGGGCAAATCACTTATTCTCTCAGTACGCTGGACAACTAAGACTCTAAGTTGCAGAGAAGGTACATTGGTAGAAGGGGCTTCCTCACCTGGGAGTTCCCTATGCCAGTGAAATCATAGGTCCAGTTCGTCCCCTTTCCTTGTTCTCAATCAATCCATGTTACCCCACAATGATCAAAGCATTCTAAGTCAGTGAGTGGTTCTCAGTCTGGGGTCTATGGGTCCCCACTATGAGTCAGTAGATAGATTTCAGGGGGTCCATGAACTTAGATAGGAAACAAATTGCATTTTTAATTTCACTAACTTCTAATTGAAATTTAACATTCTTTCAATGATGAATAAAAAAAAATCTAACAGCATTATCCAGAGAAAGGGTCCATAGCTTCACCAGACTTTCAAGGGTGCCAAGACACAATAAAGTTCAAGAACTCTTGTTCTAAGCCCTTACAAACCATATGCTTAATAATTCATCTTGCATTTTTGACATCAAGCTCATTGGCCTGTAGTTTCCAGAATTCTTTTCCCCTATTTTGGAAGTCAGAAAAACTTGTCCATCTCAAGCCTTCTTGTTCTTTATGATTTCTCGGAGATTTAACTACATGGCTCCATGATGGAATCTACAGGTTCCTTCACTTCCCTGGGATGTCATTCATCTGGGCCTGGAGGACTGAACTCCTTTAAAGTAGCTCAGTGTTATCTCCTCTCATAACTTTGGATGCTGATTCCTAGAATTGTGATCATCCAATCCAACTCCCATTTTTTTTTCTTACAAAGAAGAAAACAGGGCAGTTAGGTGGCACGGTGGATAGAGCATCAGCTCTGAAATCAGGAGGACCTAAGTTCACATCCAACCTCAGACACTAACTGTGTAACCCTGGGCAAGTCACTTAACCCTAATTGCCTCCAAAAAAAAAAAAAAAAAAGAAGAAGAATCAAAAAAAGAAGAAGAAAAAGAAGAAAAACACTAAGGATGAAAGAAGTAAATTAACTTGTCCAAGGTCACATAGCTAGTGGATGGCAGTGGCAGGAGTAGAACCCAGGTCTTCTCACTCCTCACATGGTTTTGCGACACCATGATGTTTCCATCTCCCTCTCATCCATATTTGTTCAACCTTGTCACTTTGAAGAGCCTTCCCCTTGGTGGGGAAGCAGAGGAGGAGTGGGGGAGCTATGCCTAGACAGCGGTCCCACCCTCTCCTCATCCTTCATCTAACTTCAAACCCAGCTTCAAAGAGCTCTTTTCCTTCCCTTTACTTTTTTCTAAAATTTCAGCTCAGGATGAGTTTCTGCCTTCCTGACCTTGTTCTTGTAGGTCCGGGCCACTCTTCAGTACTTGTCTTTGGTTATGTGTCCCTCCTTCTAGGTTTTGTTCTTGTCCTTTAAAACGCTGAATTCATTAGTAAGATCCCAGGGCTCACGTCGTCGCTATCTTTAGATTTGAAGCCTTTCCCTTTTTCTTTGCATAAGTCATTTGTGATGACAGTATCAGGATTTTGTTTTTAAACAATCTCCTAACCCTCTACTTTTCATAGGCATGGGCTGTCAGATCATACTTACTTTAAAATTTTTTTTTCCTTTGAAATCTGTCTTCCTAATATAACAGGTGCTTCTGCATCACTGTTTCATCTCTGTGTGAAGCCAAGGGACTCCAATGTTTCCACAGAGGGAAAGAGAACATACGAGACACTAGGAGGTAAAACTGCCAATGTTCTCTCTAAGGCAATCGATCAACCGACAGACATTTATTAAGCACTTACTATGTGCCATGGGAGGGCAGCTAGGTAGGGAAGTGAATAGAGCGCTGGGCTTGGAGTTAGGAGGACCTGAGTTCAGATCTTGCCTCAGATACTTAACCTAGCTGTGTCACCTTGGGCAAGTCACATAACCCTGCTTGCCTCAGTTTCCTCATCTGGAGGAATAAGTTGGAGAAAAAAATGGCAAAATACTGCAGTATCTTTGCCAAGAAAACCCCAAATGGGGTCATATGACTGAGATGACTGAACAACAACAATGTGCCACACCCTGTGCTAAGGACCGAGGACACAAGGAAAGGCAAAAACATGGATCCCTAACCTCAAGGAGATCACATACTAATGGTGGGGGCTGGGGAGTGGGAGGTGGAGAGGGACAAAATGTAAATCACTAGAAACCACAAGATATACACAGAGTAGATGGAAGGTAATCTCCAAGGAGAAGGCATGAGTAGTGAGAGCAACCAAGAATGACTTCATACAGAAGGGAGCATGTGACCACAGGGAAAATGTACTGCCCAAGACCATGTGGAGGAAGGAAAGCTACCCTATAGGACAGAGGGAGGGAAGAGATCTGCACAAAGGGTACAGGAATGGCCTCCCTCCCTCCCTCCTTCTATGCTTCCCTTGAGAGCTGGACTTTATGATTACTGTGGGAAGGACAGGCTTGCTGACTCCTGGGCAGCAGGTGCCACTGAATCAAGATGGCTGGACTTCCCTGAAGTACCTCTGAGCAGCTCAGAAGGCAATGCATCGAATGTTTCCAGGGTGGCCCACGGCACTGCTGGTCATTGACCGTGCCACTGGAGCTCAAGGTTGAGGAGGAGATCCAGAATCTGAAGCAGAGACAGGGACCCGAGTGGGCAGAGGATGGAACCAAGTCCTGAGGCTGGCAGCTACTGAGGATCTTGCCAACTGGCAAGCAAGAGGGAGAAGCCTGGTTTCTCCCATAGCTCTTTTCATAAAGAGAAACTGAGGACCCAGGCACGTACACCTCTCTTTATTCCTTTTCCATAAGCTGAGGGAGTTGGGAGTTCAGGACTTTCC